TTAGGTATCACAGTGGTATCATAGTGGTATCACCGGAGGACGGTGGCCGGAGAGAGAAGAGAGGAGAGAGGAGAGTTTTAAAATACCAAAAATATCTTTGCATTAAGATTTTAATTTAAAATTACCAAATTTATAAATTTTATAATTTATCTATTGATTTGTGATTAATATTGGTTCTCACAGTTACCACAAACAACTCAGTTCTCCCTTGAATATGCTCCTATATATATATATATATATATATATATATATATATATATATATAAAGATAGTTTTTTTTTTCTTTCCATTTGGTTGGTTTTCATCCCAATCATGATTATAGATTTCAAATAGAGTCATCCAAAGAAAGACAACCCTATGAGACAAACCTCGTTATTTGACACAAAAGCATCCAATCCACATTTCGTATACACTTCATTTTTTTTAAATCTTTCAACTCTTTACCAATGTGAGATATCTCAAACTCAACCACAATTCACCAACACCTCAAACCACTATTCTCATGATGTCATCTCAAACATTCATGGTTCTTCTTTTAATATATATGATACCATTGTGATACCAAATATGATACCAACTCAAACCTTAAAAACAAAGATACACAATGTGATACCCATTGTGATATACTGTGATACTTGTCGGATTAATGTTCACCGAAGGCCGGAGATTGGAGGTCGGAGAGATGAGAAAGGAGAGAGGAGAGAGAAGTTTTTAAAAAAAATACCTAATATGCCCTCTAATTATAAATTTAACTCAAACTACCATAATTATTAACTTCCTAATTTATCCGTTGATTTGTGGTTGAGATTGGATCTCACAATTACCACAAACTAATCAGTTCTCATTTGATTAGGCCCTTTTATATATATATATATATATATATATATATATATATATATATATATATATATGTAGATTATCTTTTTACACCTCATCATCCCAAGGTGTTACTTATATATACATATATATATATATAATTAATTTTACACTATAATTTCTACCATTTGGTTTGTTTGGTTTTCAACCATGGTTATAGATTTCAAAGAGGGTCATCCAAAGAAAGACAACCCTATGAGGCAAACCCCATTATTTGACACAAAAGACATCCAATCTACATTTCTTATACACTTCATTTTCTTCAAATCTTTCAACTCTTTATCAATGTGGGATATTTCAAACTCAACCACAATTCACCAACGCCTCAATACACTATTCTCATGATGCCACCTCAAACACTCATGGTTCTTCTTTTAATATATACATATAGATTTAAAGTAAATGGATAAAATTAGATAAGTAAAATAATATTATAATTCCAAAAAATTTAAGTACTCAAATTTTATTATATAATTAAAACCTCTATCATCTTCCTTTCCTTTTTATTCATAAATATTCAATTAAATTTTATTTTTATATCGATTTTTCCGCAAGATATGAATCGAATGCATATTTTAGCCAAGTAACCATCTTAATTTTTAAAATGCATAACTTCTCCTTTCATATATTTGTAATCATTCTCCTATGTGATTCTTAAGGTGAGGTAACATAAACAATACCTCAATTTCAAATATCATAATATGTTTCACACAACTACTATTTTTCTTTTATATGTATAATGACCTTCAATCTATCATTTTCCCCAT